TGTGTGTGTGTGTGTGTGTGTTTTCTTACTCCAGCAGAGTCCCCATCGTGCATCATTCAGAGGGCAGAGCGCGTGGGGTGGGAGGATGGTTCTCACTGGATATGTTACACATGACTTTGTTGTGATGCACCACAAGCACTGTTTAAAAAAAATTTTGCCCATTTTCCTTTTTGTTTAACCGGAAACCCAAAAAGGGAGGTATGCAGGCTAATTACAGGAAGCAATGTATGATAAACACACACAGCCTAAAAAAGGAGCAGGGTGAGAATTCATGAGATCAGTTACTTCTCAAACCAGTCAAACAGGTCTGGGTTGGGGGAGGAGACATCTATACTGACCATGCACACACAGAGAAACTCTGTTAACCCAAAAAATAAATCAGCCAAGCAGAAATAAAACGCTCTCTCGGCGAACTTACCGTCACATTTTTCAGACATTCCTCACAGCTTGTCCCATTTTTCAACTCACACACTGTAGGTCAAAGAAGTTAATACAATCGAGTTAAAGGACATAATGGGCAAGGTGGAAACATTTTGCCTCAAACGTCAAGGCAAACGTGACTGCAAAACTTGTCGAGTTTAAATGAAAGCACCATGAGGAGCAGATTTAAAAAGGCCTGGCATGTGCCCACTCTGGTTTTTGTAACTACTGGTAATCCTCCTGGGACATTTTCCATGGAGACTAAGTACAGCAACCACACAGCCTGTGGGACCAGTCATGTTATTATCAGCAGACATACACAGAACAACAGCCGGGTTTGTGCGAGTGAAGCTATGCATCTGTAAAATGGAGAAACAATGTCTCATATTTGTGTGCCACAGTTTCTCTTAGTCTCTTTGCTCTGAAACAATCAAGCACCCCAGGGGCTGAAAAAGAGACTCCTTGTTCCTGTTGAGAGGTTTCAACAGTTTTCAGAGACAGGAATCTTACACAGACACAATTCTACCAACAAAGTTGTGTTTTTATTCCTTTTAAGTGAAGCTTTTTAAGCTGAAATGTGGCCGGTACATAAGGTTATCTAATATATTTTATAATAAATAGTTTCAGTGTAGAAAATGCAAACAATGACATTTTAATTCTAGATGTTTGGGTGCTTTTCTCCTCAGTTCAAGGCTTATAAAACAATGCTTTATGAATATAATAGCCCTTAAAACTGTTGCGACTTTACTGAACAGCTAAACGACTCACATTCGGGGTTTTGAGCAACCTGTGCATAGCTATAAAGATAAAAACAACAATACTTCTAATAACAATAATAATAATAATAATAATAATAATAATAATAATAATAAATTAGAAAGCAGCTACATCTGATCAAAAAAAAAAAAGCTTTTCAGCTTTACTAATTCCTCAGCCCCCACATTCACTGATTCCTTTCCTACCGTTCTCAGGTGTGGACGAAACGGCGAAAACGCTCGCCAGGCCGAAACCAAAGAGAAGAACAGCCAGTAATATCCGTAAACCCATCATCCAAGAGCGTAGACTCAGATTCTCCTCCAATTTTTTATGTTTCAGAAGATTTTAGAAGACGGTGTAAGCGCAAAAGGAGGAAATGCCTCGGCTGCTCCGACAGAAGTCTGAAACCTGAGAAGTGAACTTGCTGGGAAGGAACCAAACGCAAAATCCTGACGCACGCTCTCTTTACGCACCCAAACAGACAAAAGAGGGAAAGGCGTTGGCAGAGCGCAGTGCATTTCGATATACGTCATTTAAACTATGTGCTGAATAAGCAGCGGAGTTTACAAAAATAGCTTCTTTGACACACACAAAAAGTATATTTTTAAAAAGTCACAGTTAAAACATTAGCTTTTTTCCTGATGGCTCATACCTTTTTACAGCTGTTTCGTTTAGTCCATTCATTCCCAAGCTCTGTGTTGGCCTCCCACAGTAGTAAAGTGACTCTATAACAAATGCTAACACATAACAGCTAATTGTTGTAGATGACTTCATGAGCTAGATGTTTGTTGGGCAGCTTAGCTCCCCAGCTCTTCTAAAGCTTCCATATTTTGTTTCAACAAATTAGATGATAAACTTCATGAAACGAACAGGACATCCAAGGGCAAAGAGGTTTGGAGCCAAAGTGCCAGCACATGCACAGCTCCCTGAAAAACCTCAACTCTGTTCAAAAATAAGTGCACAAAGGTCACGGTAAATATAGGACCATTTTCAATAATTTATTAAAGCATAATTTTGTAAAGCCAGTTACAAATAAAAAAAAGAACACCACACATATCTCTCTCTTTCTCTCTTTTTTTTTTTGTTGTTCTTTTTTGTTTAAACAAGCACAATGTTTTACTATGTAAAGGTGATAATAAGCGTAACACAAGATAAGAGTGGGCCCCACTTTGGCCGCCTGCGGCTGATAACAGGACCCTTTGTGATGAAGTTGCCCTTGAAGACAGATTTGTAATCAGAATTTCCATTAAGAAACACGCTGATCACATTTCAGCAACTACAGGGCAAGTTCTTCTTACTCAGTGTAATATCAGTGACAGACAGAACCACAGATGTAGAATAACCAGATCTCACAGCTCCAGGGTCCTCAGGATTTATGGCTTGTGAACTTCAATTTTTCAGTTTTTCACTCCTTTTTTTTTTTTTAGATTAAACTAAATTAACCAAAAGTTCAAAGTGGAACCTGTGAGTGAGTTCTGCTTATTCTAAATCTACAGGCAGGATCCCAGTGGGCTGTGTGTATGCTTTCAGGCCGTAGCTATGATTAAAGACACTGAGGTTATTAAAATTTGGAGCATTTTAGCAAATCTATACATTGTACACTTACAACTTTACATGTCGTAGAGACTGATTTCAATATTCTTAGACTTTAAATTGTTAAATTTAAAGAAGCAATTCAGGGTTTTTTCTCCCATTATATCTGTGGATAAATTTATTTTTGGTTACTGGGCAACACTTCAGAGGGGTTGGAGGGGTTTTGGATTCACAGCCTCAGTTTTTCTAAAATCATCGCTGCCACCCTGTACAGTATGTGATGAACTAGAAAAACAACAACATATTTCACCTGAAGAACTTCACTTTACTGTCTGGTGTGAAAAGCCAAACCAGATCTGTCTTTGGGGCAAATCCTGAAAATCTTATTGCCACAGAAACGAGTTTAGAAACTTCATCTAAACCAGATAAGACAAATAATTGGAGCATGTTGTCATGCTGGACGGTAACTTTCCATGCTATGCGAGCACTCCCAGTGGATATCTGCTTTGTGGGAACACTTTGTTTACAGTGCTCTCTGCAGGTGTTTGACATGAGTGCCATCTAGCTGCAATGCACAGCATCAGGTGACCTCACTTCGAGTCCAAAGAACACACGCACGCATGCACACACACACACACAAAGCAGTGATGAATTTCAGCATTCCAAGTGCACAATTAAACTTTTTCCAAGCCCGTGTCCTCACAGTGTCATATCTGCTTCTTGTACACTGATGCTGAAAAAAAAAGAATAATCAAAAGCATATTTTCATTCTTCCTGAACAAACTTTGCAACACATACAGTACAATAGGAAATAAACAACCCCTCAACCCTCCCCTGATATTCCATGCTTTTCCCGTTAACTCACAATTACAACACCATTCTTCGCAAAAGTTACTCATGTAAATTCATCTCTTTTTTTCCAAGGAATACAGTAGTATCACTAGTATCACTTCAGTAGTATCACTTCTCTTTTCCCTTCTCGTATTCAACAGTTTACGCCATTAATACACTCACACACACAGCAGCAATGCAGACACAGCACTTTAGGTTGGCTAAGATAGGGGGAATACAATAATAACAGTATTATCAGTAATTGTTTAAATAAAAATCACATGTTCATAAATAGGCTGAAAACACAGACAAACAAGGTTGTGTGCATTTTTTGCTTAAGTCTCCTGATCTCTGAAGAAAAAAATGAGAATAGCTTGAGCAGATGAGGATAGACAGGATTTCATGGCTCCAATTAATTCTTCAGAGTGAGTCCAACAAATAACAACAATGATAAATTCATCAAAATGCTGTTAGAAATATGACCACGATAGCAGCCAGACTCACTATAGTCTGTTTCCTTTTTTTTTTTTTTATCTTACTCTTACTTCTCTGTGAGTCACATTAATGGCACAGCCAGTGTACAGTATTGGCATCATATTCAGACATACAGTGGTCATTATTAACACCAATCACTTGCATGTATCTTACATGGCAGGTGTCACATTGCATTTAGTATGGCATTTATATACTGTACAGTGCAGTGGCCACCAAAAATGTAACAATAATTCCTATTATAATGCGTGATATACAATACAAAATGATACATGTTTGTTCAGTTTATGTGTGCACGTAGGCGAATATACACATTTATCCAGCTTCTGTGACATGTAGACATAAATAGGGGAAAGTTTGTTGGGGGGTTTTCTGGCCATTGTTCTGGATATTGTTCTTGCAGAGCCAAGTGAGGCTCGTAGCCATGCACATACTTTGGAGAGCATCCAAAGTAAATCTTTCTTCTCTGGAATATTTATAGGATTTTTTTTTTTTTTAAATACTTAAAGCCACTTCCTTTGGCTGAGTTTTCTTCTTGTGGCCACACAGTGGCGCTGACGAGTGAGCAGGTGAACACTATGTTTTTTGGTGACGAATCACCGTGTCCTTTTCCTCAGACGTGACAGAGCTGATATTATCGATAACAGACAGAGAAAGCAAGCAAGAACAAGAGTTTAGCATTTTAACTTAACAGCGACCGCAAACAAAGAGTGAGGATATATAAAGAGAAAGAGAGAGACTCGGAAATTAGAGGAGAAGTGAGATAGAAACTAACAAAACTGAGAAAGTGTGGCTTTCTTCTGTCTGGCAGTGCAATGGAGGTTGGAGGAGCCACCTGGGGCTGACTGGGACTGGGTGGCTGCTTTGTGCTTGTTGTTTCTGAATTTGTCCAAAAACGGAGAGTTTGGTGTGTGCTTGAACATCTACATGCAGGACTACCGCTCAGGGTTATGTATTTGATGGGACAGCCCCCCAAAACAGTTTTTTTTCATGCTATTTCATGTTACGTTATTAATAGATCTCCAGGCCAGTTGAGTGTGCATTTGGCTTCTGTGTCCACTTTTTACCCATTTTTGTAATTGATGCTCATTCCCTGCTCATGATTCAACTTGGGAGGTTGAGCTGGTTGGTGCGACTGCCCTTTATAAAACACAACCAACCATTGCAAGGAGCCAAGGCGTCTGGTGTCACTAGATGGATGAACGAAGAGCTTTGACTGGCTGGGAGAGATCACCTGACCCAGGCACTGGCAACACTGGACACAGACATGATGCTGCAGCGTTTCTTCACCATCATGTTGATGTAGGCCCGCATAATCTTGGTGATCTCGCCGACCTAAAATGTGAAAAAGGAGATTAGTACATCCTAGATAAGAGGTATCAAATCCTACGCTGAGAAAATACGCTGAGGGGGGGGGATGATTAGACGACGAATGATGAGCTCTCACCAGTGGAGTCTCAAAGTACATCTCCCTCTCATCCACGATGATCTTGTAGGTGCAGGGCTGTGACGCTCCGAAGAAGGTAATGTGTTCGTACTGGAAGGTTTCGAGCGGTTTGGGTTCTCCTCGTTTATACACAGACACGTTGTCAGCGCTCACACCCAGCCACAGATCATGAGGGAAACCTCCCTCTTTACACTAGCAAGAGAGGAGAGAAGGGAAAGGAAGCAGATCAAATTTATTTGTACAAAGCTCCAAAATTTATCTTCTGGGCATTTTTCCTCACCTCCACGTCAAATAGAGTGGAGCCATATCCTGGCCACTCCTTAATGATGCTCATGTATTTCAGCATGGCCTGATGCTGCGGCATGCCCTGCAGACGAGTCCACTTCTCGAGCACGCTGGTCCGTGTGGCAGACGTCTCCTCCTTCACCCACATCTCAAGCATTTGCTCATCCTCCATCTGAAACAATCAGCGAATCCTCCGAACTATCAATCCACTCAGCTAGCAGGTTCATTTATTATTTAGTATAGCAGGAGACGGATTTCAGTGAACTTAAGATGCAGAATTGTACAAATCACTTTTGCAAAGTAGAATTTTAAAATGAAGTAGCTATATTTTTTTTTTAACTTGAATGAAAAACTTATTTTTCCTCCATCACTGACCTTCTGCTTCTTCAGTGAACCAGTCTTGAAACTTCTCCTGAGGGTGCCATCCAGGAAGCTCGGAGTCTTTCGTTTCTCTACGCCGGTCCCGACACCACCTTGTCCCACTGCCACGCCTTTTCCATCTACAGCTCCAACACCTCCAGCCCCTCCAGCTCCACCTGCCACCCCCACACCCGGTTTGGTGGAGTGCAAAATGCGGTTGCGCAGACGTCCAATTGGGTAGACGCTCCCCAGGTTCCACCCGGCTCGACCTGCCCCATCACCGTGGAGATACTGAAGACGTAAAGCGGCCAGGTGCTGCAGCGTTTCCTCGGAGGCCGGGAAGTGACCACTTATCAAAGATTCGTGCGCCTGCGAGAGAGAGCAAGACAGTCTGCATTTCTGACACTTATATTTCCTGACTGGATCACATCTTCAGCAGGAAGAGAAAATATCAGGCTCAATTGGAATTGCGTTCAAATACTGCTTTTG